ACACCCAACCCCACCGCTCATCCCATCCCTGACCCCACCCCTGACCCCACCTCTCATCCCACCCCACGTCTCACCTTACCCCTACCCCACTAAACACCCCATCCCCGACCCCACCTCACATCTCATGCTCCTTACGTCTAACAGACGGCTTACTCCTGTAAATCATAATTTATTAGGCTGTTATCATATTCATACATAATAACACGGTGGCAAACAAAACTGTAACAACAGACAAAAACATCTGCACACACTCACACATACACACGCACACACACACATACACACGCACACACACACACATACACACCTACTTACAAGTTTACATTTATTTTTGTGTTGCAAGAATGTCTTTTTAAGTATCGCACATTCTATTCGTACATCCATACATTTTGATGGATTAATAAGATTGTCTGCGTTTTTTTCTTTAACATCATCAATTTGAAATGTTCGGAATGTTGCCTAACAAGGTTTTCTTTCTTTGGTTGGTCTTTAGGGGGTTACGATGTGGTATGTTGCTTTTATACTATTCATATGGTTAAGTAGTAAAATGGATGGCTTAACCACAGTATTTTTCTATGGTTTGTTAACCCACATTTGTTATATCTTTTTTGTTGACCACCAAAATTTAGCTCGTCATATGTTGACCTCAAAACGTATGTTGTTACATGTTGCCCACCCCTCCCCCACCATGGGTAGTGTGTGATTCTCTTCTCAGTGTTTGTCGTCTTACCTCCATCGACTCGTGACGCCGCATGACTCACTAGCACTTGACCATTTGATCTGACTCCAAAATATCCTGTGATCGATGGGATCCATTTATTTTTAACGAGAAAGCCCAGACCGTCTATTCATTGATTAGCCCAATCACATCGCGTCAGATCATCTCAACATTATCTTGTCTCTGAAGTTTTTTTTAACTTCTTCACAGACTGTAGACTTACTGTAGACAGGTTGCAGACAAATTATAGACATACTTTAGATAGTCTGTAATTATATCTTAGACTGACTGTAGACCGACTTGAGACTGATCGTACACAGACTGCAGGCATAATATAGATAGTCTGTAAACCTATTTTGTAGATTGACCAGTGTTTCTTTCAGACTTTTTTCTCGAGGGTTGGAGGGGGGGGACTCAATTTTCCGGGAGGCGGACACTAGTAAAAGTATATATTTTCTATATAAAATCTGTATCTCGTTGAAGAGAGTGAAAGAGAGGGGGGTGGGAGGGGGTCCCCGCATGTTGTAGACAGACTGTACGCAGATTTTTAAGCTACTGTTTTATTTAGATAGACTGTCGACAAACTTTAGACTGTAAACACATAAACTATTAAACAAACGTATCAAGTTACGGCTGTGTCTCTTGGTTTGTAACACAGTCGGGTATGTGAAAAAAATGGAAGCTTTATTGTTATTTTTTTTTATGTAAATACGATTCAATTTCACACTTTTTTGTTTTCAAGATATTTTTAAGAGTTGTCATGTTTTCTGACACGTTGAATGGTTTAATTAGTGACAATATATTTGTTTATAATTTGTTTATAGATGTAATTTTGTTTCTTTAAAATGTTAAACTTGACGTTTCAACGTTTGCCTAACTTTTACCGTCACCCTAAAGTCAACTTGTCGTTACACCATCAGCAGGATGTTAGCGAATGTTGAATTAAATGGGACATCACGTGATCTGGTATTGACCAGTCTGGTTCCAAAGTTGACTCGGTCTCAAGACGAGGCTGACACAGACAGTGGACACGACCTGCCCTTGGCTGGAGGCAGGTGGACCAACAGGTCAATCTCTCAGTGGCGTAGGCAGGACTTTGTGACTGGGGGGTCGACTTTTCTTGTACAACATATTCACCACGATGAAACTAAAAGCACTGACAAGAGAGCAACGTCACCAAATGCTGTAGCGTAATGGGAGGCGTGTCATTTATGGGGGCAGTGGGGTGGGCTGTACTTTCCCTACCAGAGGCGTAGCGAGGGGGGGGGGGGGGGGCGGGGGTGCGGACCGCACCGGGTGACACCATTTAGGGGGACGACACCAAGGCAAAAATAGCAAAATATATAGAGAAAAATAGCAAAATATATAGAAAAAAATTTGAGGGGGGGGGGGTGCAAATCGAAAGTTTGAGAGGGGGGGGGTGGTGCAAATCGAAAGTTTGAAAGTTTGTCCCCGGGAAGGGTCACTACGCCTCTGGGGGGGGGGGGGGTGACACCATTAAGTGCCGCACCGGGTGACACCCGACCTCTCTACACCACTGTTCCCTACCCAACATTCCACCCCTGCCTACGATACTGGATACACGCTGGACCTAGGTCAAATGATGGGCGTAAAATCTTCCCATAATAGGCTAGTTTAGTCATGGTATGTGGACAGTTCACCGTGCTTACTAAATATCTGTTGCACGATTAGTATATCACTTTGTGTGCTTCGTACGCTTCAATACACCGTCAAGTTTACCTCGTTCAAGTGTACCTCACAAAGTCAAGTATATGACAGCATTTTGTACATGAGTCAAGTGTACCAGATAGTCAGCTGTACATGACACAGTCATGTTTCTTTTACAGTCAGTGGTACTTAACACAAGTGTATATACTGCTTTATTGATTTGTAGCCTACTTCCATTTCCATTCAATTCATTTCTATATGCTTTAACCCGATAACTTTTACATTTAGCGAACATCCAACAGGGGAGGTAACTAGCCCGGTGATGTAATCAAGTGTGAAATAACCTGGTTACTCCCCTTCATTATTGCAACCAGGCTGCTGTCCTGACCTGGTTGTTAATTAACCGCGCGACGTGTATGCATAACTTGGTTTAATTAACTGGAAAAATATGCAGAAATTTTAACCGGTCGTGTTTAAAAACGTATTTTTTTCCTCTTCTCTGTTGCGTGTATAAAATGTTGAACAGTTTTTATTTTCTCTCTCGAATTATAGGTTACATCCGCCTTAGACAACCCGTCCAACTTTAAAACACCAACTTACGCTAATGGAAGTTCGTGCAACGTTAATTCACTCCGCGTGCTTAGTTCTGTTACTTTGACACGTGTCTGAAAGTGTCAAGTCTAAGTATCTTAAACATAAAAGGTCCACCCACTGACCAGCGGTCACTCACTGACCATCGGCTACTAACTCTAGACCGTTGAGCGTGACCCCCCCTCCCTCCCCCCTCTTAATTTCTAAGACATTGTTTTCATGATGTGTTTTGAAGCTATGCCCAGATCATGTACTATACTAGCCACAGCTTAGTTAAACGTAACAGAGCTGTTTATCGATAAGCTGAATAAGGGTTTCTTTCACTTTTTTTCTCCGAGTGTTAAAGGGAGGGGGGGGGCGAATTTAAAATATTCAAGAAAGGGGGAGGGGGGGGGACTCTGGATATGGTGGTATGGTATGCCTGTATATTTTCTATATAAATTATATTTTCTTTTGATTTCCTCCGTGGGGAGGGGGGAAGGGACGTGGCCGAAGAACTGAATACAGAGATCTAACCCACACTAGAAAATCTGAAATTACATACCACCACAAAGACGTGCTTTTGTTCTATTTTCTACAGTGTTGTATGCATGCTAATCAAAAACTTTGGTATGCGTAATTAGATCTACAAGCTATTACATATGCTGTCACACCCAACACTTTGTCACTGTCACATATGAGGATAAACCAGTTGTCAGAATTAACACTAAACCATCGTCACAGTAGGTAAACGATAAACCATGATCGCATTAAATGCACACTAAAACTTCTATCAAATACAATGCTAAACCATTCTGCCAGACAACGCTAAACCATAATAGGATCATTGATAAAACATTTGTTTTTGGTTTGGTTTTTTGCTTAACCTGGCTCTGTCATCTTATACGACAGCCACACACGATAGTCTTGATAAATAAGGTCGTGTGGGTGTGGTTCTCAGTTTTACATAGGGCACACACCTGCTAATCTGGGCTGTGTTGATTAAGTGGTGAGTGGGCACCACTACATAGGGCTCACAACTGTAAAGTGGGGTGTGTTGATTAAGTGGTGAGTGGGGACCACTACATAGGGCCCACAACTGTAAAGTGGGGTGTGTTGATTTGGTGGTGATTGGGGACCACTACATAGGGCCCACAACTGTAAAGTGGGGTGTGTTGATTTGGTGGTGTGTTGATTTGGTGGTGTGTTGATTTGGTGGTGTGTTGATTTGGTGGTGAGTGGGGACCACTACATAGGGCCCACAACTGTAAAGTGGGGCGTGTTGATTTGGTGGTGTGTTGATTTGGGGGTGAAATGTTGCCACTAGCTAACATCCTATTGTTGATGTTGCCACTAGCTAACATCCTATTGTTGATGTTGTCACTAGCTAACATCTTACTGTTGATGTTGTCACTAGCTAACATCTTACTGTTGATGTTGTCACTAGCTAATATCTTACTGTTGATGTTGTATACCAGTAGCTAACATCCTATTCTTGATGTTGTATATCACTAGCTACCAACCTGCCGATCTCTGTCATTGTTTAGCTCATTAGCTGCACTTGGATACTAATTAGTGTAATTAGAAAATATATATACAATTATTTCCCAAAAACAAACAGTTTAGTGTCAATTCAAAGGATGCTAATTAGTGTCAAAAGTGTAATGTATTGGGGGGGGGGGGGTATCGCATAATATCTATATCAGTACGTAACATAAAAGTATTTGACATAAAAGTATACCACTTTAGCATACAGGTATAGTAATCTTTCTACCGTGTGTTAAGTCATACTTCACAAATTCCCAAGTTCTAATCAAACGGTTGCTGATATCACTGAAGAAGGGCGGGTGGCGCTGAGGTCGTCTACTCGCTGAGATAATGCTGAGATAGTCAACATTTTAACATCCTTGGTCTTTGTCCCGGTGAGATAATGACAAAACACATCAGTCCGGGTAGCCTCGCTGTATCACACCACTGCATGTGTTCTGTGTCGTCTGTATACTTTACTTGTTTAATTAACCGCCGGGTTAATTATTTTTTCCAGTAATTTAAACAACTTGGCCGTCTCTGAGACCGAAACTCCAGAGGAGATGGCGCTTGCTAGAAACGGTACTCAGAAGCCTGGAACCCAGAATGGCAAGCCTGCAATTGTGGGGTTGGGTCAAGATGACGTGGCACCGGAGGATGGACTGGTCAAGCTGGACGTGACTTTACCTGATGGTCAGCGGAAGGATATACAAGTCGAATACACGTGAGTGGGTTGTGATGGGTTGTCAGGGGGTGTGACGTCAGGGGGTATAGGGTTAGATGTCTGACTAGTTTTCTCACACATTTGTAACAAGTTAGAAGTCCGGAGGGGTGGGGGTCAATGTTGTAGTGGTGTTGGGGTAGGGGGGGTCTTCCTTGTCGGGGTCATCGTTCTAGGGGTCATCGTTGTGTTAGAGTAGAGGTCGTTGTTGTAGGGGTCGTCAATGTAGTGGTATTACTGTAGGGGTCGTCATTGTAGGGGACATCGTTGTGTGTTAGAGTAGGGATCGTTGTTGTAGAGGTCTTCGCTGTAGGAGTCGTCGTTGAAGGTGTGTTACATTAGGGGTTGCTGTTGTAGGGGTCATAGTTTTAGGTGTGTTGGAGTAGTTGTCGTTTTCGTTGGGGTCGTCGTTGTAGGTGTGTTAGGGTAAGGTTAGGGTAAAGGTGTAGGCTACATATCTGTGTGGGGGTGTGGGGTGGATGGGGTACACCCCTTGTACACTAGTATATTATATTTTCTTTCTATTTTTGTGTTTAAAAACCCCCAACAAGTACCACTTTTACCATTGATTTATGTATCTTTTTATCCAGTATTTGCATTTTTGTTTTTGATATTTGCATGTATTTATATGTATGTGTATTAATAACAACTTCATTTCCCTACCCCATTAATTTGATTCTTTCAAGTTTTCAGATTCCGCTGCAGTCTGAAACATCAGTACTTTTTTTCAAACAACTTTATCATATATTGTGTATATTTTTTGATGTAGCCAAACATAGACTATAATTCGGGTTTCTGGAGTATTCAAATCAATATGTCTACAAGTTTTATTATATTTATGTATTGTGTTAGTGCGTGCAATTATATATGGCTAACAACACCTATTTTAAGTTGATTATACTGATCACTGGCTGAAGCTAACGACAACGTTACTCATTGATTGATTTATTCAAACATACCGTGATCAATCAGATAATCAATAACTACATGAGGGAAAGGGGAAGTAATAATATAAATGTCAGCATCAGGGGCAATCACTCGCGCAGAAGCCGTCCATCATTGTTGTTTTCGTAACCGCTCATAATATGACCTTGACCCCGATGATTATGAATAACGAAATACAATTATAAACGGTTATTTTTTTTTAAATATTTGTGAGACCTAATCAATGAATGCAAAACTGAACACAATGAACTAGCTAATGATGGTCAGATTATTCGTACAAAAATTGCTACACTTTATGTTGCCATGCAGACCCTGTATAACTACACCATTCCAAGAAATGTCCCTATTTCACTATGTTTTATAAGAAATAATTTCGTAAGACTGGCTCAGGTTAACTTTCTCAAGTGTTGGAATAGACGGCCATGTTTAAAACAACAGACTAGCACGCATGAGCTATTTCCGTGCACTGTGTTACACATGCGCTGATTAAGTCACTCACCGGTCACACAACCTTATTCGTGGCCACTCTATCATTCTAGCCAGTGGCCACCCTATCAATTGTGGCCAAGCTATCATTCTGACCATTATGTCATTCAACGGTCACACTACTTCATTCGTGGCCACCCTATTATTCTGCCCATCTTAATTTTGACCATGCTATCACTCTGGCCATTATGTCATTCACCGGTCACGCTACCTCATTCGTGGCCACCCTATCAATTGTGACCATGCTATCACTCTGGTCATTTTGTCACCCTGTTACCCTGAACACCCAGTCACTCTGGCCATGATGTCATTCTAGCTATCCTTCCAAGACGGCCAAATATGCTACTCTGGCCGTCCTGTCACTTTAGCCATCCTGTCGCCTGGCCACATATCACTCTGGCCACATATCACTTTGGCCACATATCACTCTGGCCACATATCACTTTGGCCACATATCACTTTGGCCACATATTACTTTGGCCACATATCACTCTGGCCACATATCACTCTGGCCACATATCACTCTGGCCACATATCACTCTGGCCACATATCACTCTGGCCACATATCACTCTGGCCACATATCACTCTGGCCACATATCACTCTGGCCACATATCACTCTGGCCACTCTGTCCACTGGTCCACCTAGCATTAATCATCCCGCGTGCCGGTCCCTGTAACCACATTAGTAAACATCGTGTTAGTGACGTCACCACGAGTCAAGTGGTCTCTCCACCGCCCCGAGTGGTGGCGCCAGATGATTGACCAGGTACATGTGTCAAATCCCTGCTAATCCGTGACTTTAGCTGACCGTGAGGATTAGTGACCGGGTCTGGCTACTTAGTGACACCAGGTTCTGACAAGTCTTCGCTATCAACATGGCGAAGGGGCGGGGCTACTTACCTGTGAGAAATTCACTAATGACTAAGTCAACGATCCAGCTGGTCCCACCCCCCTTCCTCTCCCCCTCCCATCCTTTAAACTGTAGTACCGAATGCAAATAACCTGAACAAATATTTAGGCTTCTTAATTAGAGATACTTGGTGTGAAAATTAACTATTTAGGTGAATTAGGTAAACTGACAAACAAACAAACTGACAAACTAGCTGCCAAGCTCACTAAATGACCGACAGTCACTTTACAGCAGTGAAGTGCCGGTGTAAAGAGACGACGCTTGCTATATCATTCCGTATCTGTGTGCCCCATCCTTTACATTGTTTACATTGTCTGATGTCTGCTGTTTATATGCATCGACTGCATCTTATGTTGTATGATGCTATGTGTAAGTATTGTATATAGGTAAATGGTGATGTAATGTAGCGTGAAATATGTGTATGTAGGGTGAAGTATATTGTGTATAATGAATGGACCGGTCCAAAAATAGCTCCACCTCTGTGTACAGTACAAGCTAACATGCTCCCCCCCCTCCCCTGTAAGCGGCCGCCTATAGAAAAACGACCGTTAGATGGTAACCTTCTTAAGAATCAATCAATGGCTAGATCAATGAGGCATGAGGGAATTCCCGAACAAGGTCGGAATGTTGTCGTCCGTAGATTTAGCGCCCTACCTGTAGGTGCGTGACGTCACCCTAGTGACACCGACTCGTAACCACTGGCTATAATTAGAAGCGAGTAGGGGTGGGGACGAAACGGGGGCCTGTCGTACCTGATACCAGGTTTGTTTATGTAGGTCATTGTTATATGAAAACACGCAGTGGCAACAGTTAAGTGTGTTGAGTGTGTGTTAACACAGCAACGCGTGGAGACGGACACAGTATTCAGTTGCCCCCATCCCACGGCCGGCTGGTCCGCTAGTGTGTAAGACGGTATCATCTCCAGTCGCCGCATGGATGTTGTAGCTAGATCTAGTTATCGCGCGGTGTAGGACTACTAAAATGTTTCGTTTCACCAAGAAAAACAAACAGGTGTTCAAGCCTGAACCCGCGGAGGTCAGACCTGAGCCACAGGTAAGTGACATACATATTGGTAGACTTTCGTAAACACACAGAAAGAAACTAGCCACAGGTAAGTGACATACATATTGGTAGACAGTCGTAAACACACAGAAAGAAACTATGTCCCACATCAGAAAATTGTTGTCACGTTTTTTATAAAAACAACCCGCCAGTTAATTAGTTCTAACACTGCTGATTAGGCCCTAATTATTTTTTTAAATCTCACTGTAGCTGGTTATCTAACTATAAAAACACGCCAATTGTAATGCAGACCTACTTGATTACAACTAATTATTAAAAATGTTTGTATAGCTTTAATCGAAAAAAAAAAAAAGCTTGTTTGTCGAACTATTTCTAACACTATCTGACACAATGCTACACACTACACACTATCTACGGAGAGATAGTGCTTAAAACATTTTTGTTAAACTAGTTAATCTGGTGAATGTTTACACTGACTAAATAGAGATCCGTTGTTATACGGTAGTGGGTTTACGTGATTACATAGGGTGTAAACTAAGGTTGTCGGTGTATGGGTTCAGGGCATGTCGTGTGCTGATGCTGATTGATGGATCTTGTCGTAGTTTGATTTTCTTTTTTGTTTTAGTCCAGCGCTATATCTTTTTTTCTCTATATCCAGCTCTGAGGTCTATGCATTTTAATGTAACTTTCCCATTTCTATCTTGACGGTCCACGGGGCTACTGAAGTAGAGTCCACCTGTTTCTGTGACATCGGCATATGAAGTGATAGTTACAGTGATAGTGTGGTCAGCACTATGCCCACGTATTGTAATGTCTTAAATATGTATCCTCTTGCCGCGCCCATTGTGTTTTATTCGCTGGTCTGAGAAAAAAGTCACGTATTCCAGAGCTCTGGAATAGATCATCTAGGTCTACTTAATAGACAACATTGACTTTAGAAGTCGAGATCAGGCAGATAGCCTTTCGCTTAGACAAGGTGTCCTGCAACCTTTTTGTCCAGTCAACTTGTTGTCCTGCTACCTTTTTGTCCAGTCAACTTGTTGTCTTCCTACCTTTCAGTCAACTTGTTGTCCTGCTACCTTTCAGTCAACTTGTTGTCCTACTACCTTTTTGTCCAGTCAAGTAGTTGTCCTTCTACTTTTTCAGTCAACTTGTTGTCCTACTACCTTTTTGTCCAGGGGGTCATCCATAAATGACGTCACGCTTTTTTTGACGATTTTTACCTCCCCCCCTCCCCTCCGTCACACGTCGTCACAAAAAGCCAGACCCCACCCCTAAAATGACGTCACACCTCAACCTACAACCCCCCTCAAAATTGCAGTTGAATTTTTTAAAAACATCGATATTTTTCCAAAATCTTGTCTAAACTATTACAATTTATTAAAAGTTATCTAAAACGCGAAATAACGTCTAAAATTCGTTTTCTAACATTGCTTTTTTATAATGCAAAAATGTGACGTCGCAACATCTGACCCCCCCCTCCCCCTCATCACACATCGTCACAAAATTACGGACCCCCCCTCCCCCCTACGAGTGTGACGTCATTTATGGATGACCCCTAGTCAAGTAGTTGTCCTTCTACTTTTTCAGTCAACTTGTTGTCCTACTACCTTTTTGTCCAGTCAAGTAGTTGTCCTTCTACTTTTTCAGTCAACTTGTTGTCCTGCTACCTTTGCATTTATTGCCATTATATAAATAACTTCATATTCAGCCTATTTTGTGAACTTTCTCCTGCAGCCGTCTATTTAGGAAACCGTCTATTTTAGAAGCCGCCTAGTTATGACCGTCATGAAATTCTGCAATTAAAAAATCAGATTGTAATCAAGCTGAAATATTTTCTATACGCCTACTCCATAAATTTCCTTTAAAACCACTTTTACTGCATTTTTATGGATTGGATTAAAAACGCTTTTCTAAGGTTTGAAAAGTAAATGTAATTCATGCATCTCCGTGCAACATGTTGGCCGCATGAATTAGACACAGGTCTAAATAAAACCCTCTCTAAACTTTCAAGAAAAATCTGGAGAATACATTTGTATTGAATTGTGCCGCCAACTTCTTTCTAAATAAAACAGTTTTGCTCAATCAGAATATCTAGTGATGCGTTTTTAAATTTCCATAAGTTTTGATGTAAATATTGTAAGCTTAAAAACAAATCTTAGACATTATGCACCAAACATTTTGTGACCGTTCTTAAAATATTAGAATCCATTTTTTAAGCCTGACAAAGTAGCCATGCTGATTCGTTGATGTCTCTTGGGGGTTTACGTACCCAGTGTGGGGTGAAGGGAACCTAAGATTCAACGAGTTTCAAATGGTTCAAGAAACATTCTAATACATGTAACAGTCAATTTTTCTGATGATGAGGGTAATTCCAATTTCTATCAATTAATAACTTTACGAACACCACTTTTCAATATACAAGTGAGATCAATAAGAAATCAATAAATAATTTTGATGCTTAAAAATAAAATCCGTATCGTAAATTCTCTTAGAAAAGTCCAGAAATGACGTCACGCTAGCTTAGCATATTTTTTTAATCCCCACCTTCTGTCGCTCTATGATGTAACAAAAAACTTGACTTCCCGAAATCGACGCCATAAAACTCAAACCTGTCCCCGCCTCCTTCGGTAAAATACAAATCCTTCCAAAAATTGTCACGTATTAATGTGTACTTTTAGAAAAATCAAAACCTCTTTCCTTGTATGTTATACACTCCCCTTCTTTCTTTCGTAGCAATTCGTTCTATCTGCGTAATGCCATATTTAGTCTATATTACAAAAGCCTTGTATGTAATTATAATTAATAATCACAATATTATTAATATTGAATCCGTTAATACATGCGCTGTTAATAATTAGTTGTATATGAATACATGTAAGTTACTTCCCATCTATGCATTCCAAGTAACCAGGGGAAACAACTTTTAGTTTTATTGCCTATAGTTAAAAATAAAAAAAGAAATTCAACTGTTAAAAAGTAACTCTTTGTATTTATTATAATTTGTAGATTCTCCCAAATACAATAAGTATTACGTGTCAAACTATGCGCCATATGACTCCGACTTTAGCCAGCTTTTCTTCTGGATTAGCTTCCTTTGTCCAACCAAGAACAATCTGTGTCTGATTTTGGAGTTGTCTCTCCTAGATGGCCTGCTGTCCCTTGCTAACGAGCCTAGTCTGCCCGGGGGTTCGAACCAGGAATTTAGCAACCATTAACGGTTCCGCCGGACTACACCGTCCCCTCCCCCCCCCCCCCTCAAGTCTTTTAATTGGTGCACATTTGTGGCCAGTTTTAATTGGTGCACATTTGTATCAAGACTTCTAATTGGTCTACCTTTATCTTAGGGATAAAGTTGTGCCTATTTAACATGCGCATTCTGAAAGCGTCGGTCGTTACTGTAAAACCGTCACGGATTGTCCCACTTTAGCAGAAAAAAATATTTGCTTACTAGATCACGATTAGTTGGTCGTTACTTTCATTTTAATTCTGTGATTTTTTCTCTTTTCCCTCATTACAGAATAATTAGTTAATTAATATCCGATCCTCTCATAATTCTATTAGCAATAATTTAATTGTACTGAACATTTAAAGATGTTCAGCCTATATGTAAAACCGAGGAGGAGGAGGGGGCGGCTGTAATGTTGTCATCGACGACTTAAGGTAAACATGCCCGATTTACTCACTGGAGCCAGCTTGCTACGTCACTTCCGGAAGTCATGTTTTTAACCTGTCTAAACAAGTCGTATAGGGGGGGGGGCGGGGGCTGTCTAAACAAGTATCTGCGCAAGGGGTGGGTGGTGGTGTGTTTGATTCGGTGTGCGAATGGGGGAAAAAGACCAACTTAGACCTAGACTAGATACATTTTATTTACACTTAATTAATTAGACACAGCTGGCGCCCCTACCAAAATTTCAAGCCTAGATATTTCTCGACAATTTCTTTCTTGTGTGTTTATTGTCAGTCAACACAGATTAACAGCTTTCTTTCGTCCACAGATTGGTCGGCCATCTTCAAGGTTTCTGCGCATGACTTTACCGCTTAGCGGAGAGTTTAAATTTTAGAATACGATTTTTTAACGCTTAAATTATTTTAGGCCCTACTTTAAAAAATTCTTCTGTTGGCCTATCTTTAAGTATTGAAATAGTGATTTTAAAATTATTGAACATATTCTAGCGGTAGTGTCACTATGGAAACCTTGAAGATGTGCTCAAACTTCCGAGGTCACACCAGACACCTAGACTGTCTTCCCAAACTTCTAACGCCCCCCCCCCCTCCCCCCATTACGACCGTTAATATTTAGCTTACAAACGAGGCTTGTGACGTTTCAGCACCCCTATGCTGGACCTACTGGTCTGTCTGGCCGCCAAGAGCCGACTTAACCCGTCTGGGTTGGCCCTTCAGCTGGTGGCCGAGGACACGGGCAAGCCCCTGGCCTACAAGGCCAACCAGACCATCGGCTCGCTGGGCGGCCGAGTGGTTCGTATTGTCAGCAAAGACGATCTCGCGGCCAAGTCTAAAAATAAACCCTCGAAACAAGACAAACCTTTTGAGGTAATACACAAAATGCGGAACATTTGTTTAGGTTTTTTTTTGTTCTTTAGGGAACAAACATGATAAATTAAATTACGATCTTCTGGTTTTTCGAGAACAAACAGTAGAACAAATAGGGAGCAAGTAGCTTACACTATGATTTTGTGGTTGCTAAGCAACCAAAAGACCTAGTCTCCCACTGATCTGAGTTGGTGGAGACGATACTCAGGGCGCGCGGAGAAGACGTGAATTCCATCCCGCCCTGGTTATTTCAGCCGTCGTCAAAGATTTCCTTTGTACGTGACCTCTGACCTGGAACTGGTTTCATGCTTGTGACCTGACGCTCAAACACGCCATGAACCGCTCGGACGGGCGTCACACCCCGCTAACCACTCAAATCAGATCTGCTGTCGGTGTCTTCACTCACTGACCTGTAGCCAGAGTTCACAGTCTGCTGCTGTCAACGATAACAATGTACAGCGTCTGTCCCACGATACAATATTTAGGTTTTGAATTAGCCTAACAGAACATCATAGGCTACAGAGTAGGCCTGATAGACCTGCCCTATGTAGTAACTATAAAGTCAAGAATATTATAGCGTGTCACACACATTAGTTCCAGTGGACCAGTCTTGTAGCGTATTCCATGCGTGAACAGCAGTCATTTGTATAATCAGTCAGCTCTGTTTTCAATCAGTCTTTATTTCAAGCCGTTAACACGGAGGTTATTGTTTGGTTTTATTTTCATGCCAACATTTATATGGCCAAATACAATCAGTGTTTCTTCCAGACTTTTTTCTCCGGAGGGGGGGGGGGGGCACTTGAAATTTTCGGGGGGGGGGGGGGCGGACACTGTTAAAAGTATATATTTTCTATATAAATTATATAAATTTCATTTCGTTCAGGGGGGGGGGGGGGAAGGCGATAAAAAAGTATGCCTGGAAGAAACTCAGAAAACAATTTTATCCAAACAATGCTTGATAATAAGTAAATTTAATTTGGTTTTCAAAACGTCAAAACCTTTGTAAACGTACCAGTTCAATTAGAAATCTTATTTTTCAAATTACTTAGCTAATTATTTATATCAACTAATTAACATTTCACGAATTGCCAGATGACCCAGAGATTTACTGTAAACCTCCCTAGAGGTCAGAAAACTGTCCTGCGCATCAGTCCTCAAATGGCATTGGGTGAACTCATGAACTTGGTGTGTGAGGACAAAGGCCTTGACCCCAGAAGACATGTTTTACAGATACCCGGAAAACCTGGGGAAGTTGTGGATTTAAATGCCAGCATTCAACAGATGGGCATTCACGAGATGAACCTCATCACTGTTGGTAAGTTGGTAGTTGAGTACTGGCTACATACATTCATGATGTGGACCATATCACTGTTGGTGAGTTGGTAGTTGAGTACTGGCTACATTCATGACGTGAACCAGATCACTGTTAGTAAGTGGGTAGTTGAGTACTGGCTGCATAGCATTGGTACGGATAATTTGTCCATCACAACATGGTCGTGGTCATTTGTACGACAAAGTTTGAAAGTAAAGTAGCCCCTCGCAACATGGTCTATAACTGCCCTGTCCATTGTCACAACTAAATTGGTTTTCATGGACCTGATTTTGGGACAGTATTTTAGAATGACCAAATGTCAGTTTATCAAAATATTGGGCATATAAAACATTTAGAAGTGTGCCACCTGCTACCATTTAGAACATATGCGAGCCTCTACCACCAGTCAAACTAGCCAATGTCCATTTGATCACAAAAAAACTTCACCCACATTAAATTAATTTATAAAACAAATTTAAAAAAATGTATGCTAAAATGCAATGAACAAGTTAGTTGTTGGTTTGTTAGCCTATCAAACGCTGGGATTATCTATAAGTGACAATCATCAAGGTTGAAGATAACTTTATCTGTTGAAGAGTGGGTTGGCCAGATAAATTCCAGAGTAGAGATTGTTTTCATATGCCTCATTTGAAAGTAGCAAATCTTTTTCTATCTAATATTGAGTGGTTTTGAAAAGAAGCAACTAAATATGAAAAGTTGTGCTTTTGTCTTGATATTTTAATGTAAGCTTTAGTCAAATAGTCTCAACCAAGATATTCTTTATTTTAAATAAAATAACTTTACCAAAAAAAAAGAAAAATGCTCTAAAAAAAATAAAAATGGTATATTTTTAAACATTAAGTGTAAAAATGATCCAAATATTGCTGCCATTTATTACTTCCAACATTGATGTTTGTTTACATTTGTTTTTTACTTTTATAGGTTTACAAAACAATGCAGTTTCGTTACCTGACCTGTCTAAGCCAGTACCCAAAGATGACAAGGTTTCATTTTCCACACCTTCTCCAACTAAAACAGCAGAGCCAAAGAAAAAGAGGAGTTTTCTTTCATTCCTCTCTAAAAAGGATAAAAAATATAAAGCAGTAAGTTTTGAATGAAATAACTTAGCACATACATATAAAGCAGTAAGTTTCAATGAAAAACCTGCCACATAAATATAAAGCAGTATGTTTTTAATGAAATAAACCTGCTACTTGAATATAAAGTAACATGTTTTTAATTAAATAAACCATACCTACAGCCAGTCTACCTCTGGTAGTATTTATGTGAGGTGAGATTTACACCTTAGCCTAACTCAAACAGGATGTTTGCACCTAGTGTGTCCTTGTTCAGGCTAACTATTTCTGACTTTACTAATTCCATGAAAATACAATGGGATACTGCTAATTTAATACACCTGGGACAAGTATAATGTTTTCACAAAAATTGAAATTCTGCCAATATGTTTTTACAGTGAAATGTATAACAATTTAGACATAAACAAGCCAAAGCTATTTGCAATGGAGAGTTTTGACTTATTTATTTAAACTGAATTAGATATTAGCACATATTTTCAGTTGTTTAAAATGTAGGTAACATTTGTAAGAATTGTTCCAAAACTCTGATTCCAGTCTGAGACAAACATGGAGACCAGTTCTTCTGGCAGTCAAAAATCTAACTCAGCTCCAGCACAAAAACCCAGGACACCTCCCCCAACCCGGCGCAACCCTGAGCCAGACAACAGACCCAAGTCCATGTTCATTCCTTCAACTAAACCAGTGGATGAGGATATAGGAAATAATAATTCAGAAAACGCTCACACATTAGTGGCACCTGCTCGTAAGAAACGACGAGCCCCTGCCCCACCTGTTCCTGCACAGGTGCAAATAAAGGTGCAGGAGATACCTGCAGACAATGCCAGTGCTCCAGTTCCTCAAAGCCAGCATAATAGCACGCCACAAGTGCAGAACTCAGGTCTACCTGTTCAACATTCGTCACGCTCTGATGCTCTCAACCGCCTTCACTCGCGCAACAGTTCAGACTCCAGTGGTTATCATGAGCTCACCTTGAGTGGGTGTGAGTCACCAGAAGCTGCTCACCTCAATGGAACCAAGTTTAAAACAAGCATCGACACAACGTCCATAGAGAGCACAGAAATGGCCAGTAATGATGTGGCCGCTCACGAATCACCTTCTAAAATATCAACCATTGTAGAACTGCATGAAAAGTCTGAGGCAACTAGCATTACAAGTACTTCGCCTCCCTTGAACACTGGAACTCTTCCGTCTATGAAGAAAAGAAAAGCACCTGCTCCTCCTGCACCACCTGTTCCTGCACCATCAGTTCCAAAAGTCACACCCACAGAACCCCAAACCACACCCACAGAACCAAAAACCACACCCACAGAACCACAAACCACACCAACAGAACCACAAACCACACTTCCACAAGTCACAGTATCACAAACAAATTCACAAGTCACAGCCACAGTATCACAGACCACACCCACCAACCCACAAACCACACTACCTCCTCCAGCCCCTAGCTCTCCTGAAGACACCAGAACTGATGAAAGCTTATCACAAGAAGCCAACATGGTTGTGGATGTAGCTGATAATCCTATCACACATCAAGGTGAGTAAAACTACACTATTTTACAAAACCTCTGATAATTCAGTAACACTACAATATTTTTACAAAACCTCTGATAATTCAGTAACACTACACTATTTTTACAAAACCTCTGATAATTCAGTAACACTACACTATTTTATAAAACCTCTTATAATTCAGTAACACTACACTATTTTATAAAACCTCTGATAATTCAGTAACACTACACTATTTTACAAAACCTCTGATAATTCAGTAACACTACACTATTTTGTAAAACCTCTTATAATTTAGTAACACTACACTATTATATAAAACCTCTGATAATTCAGTAACACTACACTATTTATAAAACCTCTGATAATTCAGTAACACTACACTATTATATAAAACCTCTGATAATTCAGTAACACTACACTATTTTATAAAACCTCTGATAATTCAGTAACACTACACTATTATATAAAACCTCTGATAATTCAGTAACACTACACTATTTTATAAAACCTCTGATAATTCAGTAACACTACACTATTTTATAAAACCTCTGATAATTCAGTAACTCTACACTATTTATAAAACCTCTGATAATTCTACATTAGCTTTTGCTTAAAGAGCCAAGAATTCATATCCCATCAAACGTTTAAAAAAGATTAGCTTTACTCTTATTATGTATTGTTAAAATTTTGCTTGTGTTTAAAAGCTGACAGATCTTTATAAAAATATTGTGTAATAAGAAGTATGCTGATATTTAATTTCCTACAGAGAGTGTAGAAATTGAAGAAGAAATTGTTTCAAGTCTGCATCATCAAGAGGAACAAGCATTTAATTCTGCTAGTGAGGAAAGATTTATATACTTTATTAACAATCACTTTTTCACTTAAACTAAAAAACTAACAGATTAAAACAAAATATTGGAAAATAATATTCTAATTGTTTTAATATATGCCTATGCATTTTTAAAACTTCAGTAATCAAAGATGAAAAAATATTGTGACCATTGAAATTTGTTTACTAGTCAGAATTACTTTTGTAAAGTATTAGTATTGTTGAAAAATAACTGAGTTAATCTGTTGTAAACTAAGATGAGCCATATTTCAGCTCTGATAGACAACAACATATGCTATCTATCCCTAGACATCATATATTTTACTAGGCTCGGTCAAAAAACAATGCATTCCATTCTAGCCAAAGTCAGACATTTTCTTTTGAAGCCTAGCTTCATCTACCTTTATGTATCCTAAGCCTAACTAAACAGTCATGACTTAGAAACTTCTCTTTCTTAACCATAACTAGATAATTATAGTGGTAATAAATAAATTCCCTATCCAAACCTTAGACAGTCACATAGTTGTATATCACATTTAATTATCTGTTACACATCTGTAATAAAAATTTCTTCTGACCAGCCACTGAGGACCAAGCGGACAGTTCCAGCCTGTCCAGTTCTGTGACATCAGCTCAGGCGACATTTGACGACATCTTAAACGGAATTCAGTTTGAAGAAGAGAAACCAACATTGATAAAAGTCAATAACAAGTATGATGAGAATGATGATGATGAGAAAATAGAACAGGTTTGTGCAGGAATCCTAAAACCTCATTATTTACCATCATGCTCTTTTTATCACATAGGATTGTCAATTTACTTTCCTATGCGTCTAGTAAATGATCTAAATTATAAAGTTTTTATTCTACTGTATACTTTTATTGACAAGTTTTAAAATTTCAATATTAAAGCAAGTAGATGCCCCATTTTTGTTATTTTGTATACATGTAGTTTTAAAAAATCATCTCTTTTACAGATGAAAATGTTCTTATTTTGATATTATATACTTTTTGTTTAAAACTAGTGTGCGTCTTAACATAAACTTTTCAACTCATTTGCACCAGGTGCAGCCCTACAATGAGCGTCCTTGTGCATTTATCCCCCCACCCCCTCCCACAGAGCCCCCTCCTGACAATTTCGAGGTGGATGAAAGATTAATTGAAACATCCTATGAGCCAATATTGATTGACAAGGAAACAGAAGTGAACGAGGACAACACTTCTCTGGCCACTTCCAGTGCCAAAAGTTCACCAGGACATGGTAAGCTTCTTGTTTACTACCTGTGTAGTCAATGTTTTTACTTTTAGTTTACTACCTGTGTAGTAAATGTGTTTAGTTTACTACCTGTGTAGTAAATGTGTTGAGTTTACTACCTGTGTAGTAAATGTGTTGAGTTTACTACCTGTGTAGTAATTACTTCCAGTTTACTGCATGTGTAGTAAATGTTTTTATTTCTAGTTACTACCCATTTTTGCAGACAGTAAAGAGGGAATTCAAAAACTTTATTATTGTGTACATTTTGATATTTTAATTAGAATGCTTGATTACATTATAATGTCAAGTATACAATTAATTTTTATTAAATATGAAAAATGCGTCTGCCTTGTTAAAATCAAATGAATATTTGATTATCATGTAGAAAAAATATTCTTTTGATTTATTTGTATCAATGCCACAAGAAACTGGCTATTGTTAGAGTTAAAAGGAAATTTATTAGGCATGTTACATAAAGGTAATGGGACACAACTCTACTAATTTTAAAATCACTTGCCTTGTTGGTTGAGTTGGATAATCTAAAACCACATTTACACTTACCACATGTATACTATACATGTCTAAGGAAATAACCCTGTAACAAGTTAATTATATATGGGAATGGAAACATTTTCCTCAGAGAACATATATTATTAACTGTTGCAGTTTTTTTTCTTTGATATGTCTAGTATAGGGCCTACATGTCATAAATGTTATCACAGTGTTAAAAATATTTGTAAAACTATCAGTAAGTACAATTATTTGCATGTTATAAAAACAATTATAAACAGATACTAAGGTGATAGAAACTAAAAAAATCTAACTTGTAATGTTAATCTTCAATTTGTTTATTATTTTTGGTTTGAAAAGATTTTTTTTTTGGTTTTCGTTTGTTTAGTTTTGATTATGAGATATATCTTTGTCTACAGATTGGTTTTAATATAATTTTATTTTAATATACTAGAAATTTATGTTCTTAACTCACAAATGATTTACAAAAAAATTCAAAAATTAGTTGATGCAAATATAACACATTTGGCTGATTTTCTTAAAAATTGATCTTCAAAATTTAAATTTTTTAGTTTTGAACAATTGTTAGAAATGGAAACATTCATGCTTAGTTTTTTCTGCATTACTTAACATATCCCTACAACACACAGCTCGTAAGTTCAGCATCACCAGTCTGGGATCAGTTGACACTATCGAGGACATCAGCTTAGATTTTGAGCAGACTATACAATTTGCAGAAGAAACAATTTTAACTTCTTCTTACGTTGAGGAAGGTATTCCAGGCTCAGATCTATTAAAAACACAATTATCTGCTAGGTGTACACATCTAATCTAGTTTATTTTTTGAATGCTTCTTTAGATGTTGGTTGTTTAATTTTCTTTTTTGTTCTTCTTAACACTTTTATTTAAAATAATACTGATTAAATATCTTTAAAAATTTTTTAGCATGCCCTTATAAAATTTGTCTAATATTTTAAGTGACAATTATAAAAAGTTTGGATAAGTATTGATGTCATTGTTGTAATAGATTTCTATTTTAAAGCATTCATTTAATGAAGCAACGATACTGAAATTTTTGTATTAATAATACATTTCTAACAAATTTGTTTCTGCTTATTTATTATGTTTTATAATTTACAATTTTCTTATAAATAACTGATTTAATAATTGAAAAAAAACAACTCATTTTTTAATTTTGAAATGAAAATACTTTAAATGCTTACAAAACATAGTTCACTTAATGCTGTTTAAAAGATCATACAGACCAACATTACTTCAGCTGCCTAATAAAACTAACTTGTATGTTGTTATTTAACTTAAAAAACTTATTCTAGAATTAACTTTATTCAAGCAAGCTGCTGACACTGAAGGTTTTTTTTTTTTTGCTTCTCTGAGTATCTTTTTGTTCTAATTTTTTCTTGCTGTTAATTTTATATCTAAATAGATTTTCATTTCCGTGTTAATTTAGTTTCTTGCTGTTTTAATATAATGTTTTATTCAATGCACAGATGCACAAGTAGATCTGGGTCTGACTTTTGGGCCATGACCCACGGGTTGTGGCGACCCATGTTATCTCACCATTTTCAGCTTTATTTCACAAATTCTTTTGCTGAACTTGTAGAATTTCTTAGTTTTTAATTTACTTTGCATTTTTTTGTTTTTTATAGTTTTAAAAGTATGCTTCTTTAAAATGAATATTTTTAGCATTAAAGTTTTTTAAAATCTTAAATAATATAAAATTTTAAAAATAAATAGCAAATTTACAATTCAATTTATAATTCTTACCAATTATATAACTTGTTTTGGAAAAATGTAAACGACAAGTATTTTTAAGCAAATATAGTCTATTATTTTAAGAATCGGTCACATAATTTTACAATTGTATAATTACTTAATTGAATACAGAGATTAGTTTTAAAAATATGAAAGTAACAAAGACAGCAAGATTAAATCACTACATGTGTAGTATATAATGATCATTGTTTTATTTTAAACAGCATTGCATTAATAGTTATATTTATTTTCAGGGAATTCTGGGTACAAGAATGAGATGGCACAGTTTGTTGAGAGAATGAGCAAGTTAGCGCTGGAGAACCCACACCTGTCAGAGGTTACTTCCCCTGAGGACAGCATCAGCCTGTCTGTCCATGGCTCCGATACCAACTCTGAAACGGGATCAGTCATCCAGCACAACCGGACTGACTCTAAGGACTCTAGGTCAGAGTCTGAAAGTGGCTCTCTGAGTAGGAAACTGGGGAAGAAAGTTCATGCCAAGGAAGTTGAGAGTCCTGTGTGTGAGGAGGTGCCATTCAATGGCGGCCTGTCCCACAGTTATGGAGGTGGTTCCCAAGAGATTGCTGTGTGCGAGGAAATGACAGTCCTACCTGAGACAGTGCCACCACCCCCAGAGTTCGATGATGATGGCATCATTGAGAAAGTTATTGACAGTGTCAATATAAATAGTGACACTGTCAACAGAAATTTTGACAGGAATGAGAAAGATAGTGACAGTGAAAGTGATAGTTCCAGTGATGTTGTAGATGACTTAACTACCGACAGAAATGTCACATCTTACCCTAGTGACAATTTTGTGGACACTAGTGTAGGAAAATACAGCAATGAGAGAGAGAATGTAAATGAAGAAGATGAAGAGGAATATTATTCTGAGACTGTCGAAGAGCTGATTATCCCCCTTGGGCCAAATGGTTATGACTTTTCCGCTGCAGTTAAAGTGGATGAAACCTCTAAAGAAAAACCTCCTGAGCCCTCCACTAAAGAGGCTGTAACTGGCGTGTTCAGGGCAGTACCACTTTCTATTGCACCATTTTCTTATGGTTTGACATCAGCCATTGATGCCCAACTGAACCAGCCCACCCCAACTACCCCTGCTCCTAAAGAAGAATTTGTACTGACCAGTGAAGACCTGTCCAGCGTTTGTTTCCTACCACCAAAGCTTCTTAAAGCCAAGCCCCAACCTGATACTCAATCCACAGTCCATGTTTCATCAACATCTTTAACCATAGACCAAAACAAAAAAGAATCCTCAGTGCTTAAAGCAGGAGCTAGTGACCTTCCTGCTAGCAGACCGGTCAGTCAAATCAAATCTTCTCTTAAAGTCAAGACCTACCCACTGAGCAGCAGCTCCACAGCTGTGTACTCAGCTTGGTCAGACACTGCCAACAGTTCCACCAACTTATCCACCAACTCCACTGGCTATTCCACCTCACGGTCAGACACAAGGCCGGTGGATAATGACCCGTCAAGCTCAGACCCGCTTGCTACCAGATCAACCCCTAGGTTACTCATGAATTCACAGCCATCAAATCACAGTCAGTTTAGGTCCAGTCAGCTAATGACCACACCTGTGGACATTGATGTTGTGGACAGCGCTGCCTCATCAGACAGGTAATTATAACTTAATTAAAATAAATATTACCTAAAATTACTCTAAAATTTAAAATGCTTTCTTTTTGCTATTTCTATTTATTTCTTTATTAATTCAGCTTGTAACTCATTTTTAATCAAATTAATATTTAATTTTCATGGTATATTTTCAAACATTCCTCCACTCTTTCCCACCCCATGCTGATTTTTAAAACCCTGTAGTTTACTTTATTTTAAATCCCCTTATTACCATCGTATTACTGACTATTTAAAAGTATCCCTTGGTACATTAAGACTAAAGCATTAGCTGACATTAAACAAACTTATTTTTAAAAAATGAAACCAGTATTTGGACATTACTCCAACACCAATAGCAAAAACAAATGTTTATACACTTTCAGACAGAGTATTCCCACATGACCAAACAAAGTGGGCCTAAAAATACAATTTTGATTTAAAAAATCTACTCCAGTGCAAAATGTTTTTGTTTTCCTTTTCTATTGACATCTCAGAACAACCACAAGATAATTTACAAAATTAGACCACTCTATTACCTAGTTCTATGTTTGGTTTTATTTTTCTAGTGGTGACACACTCAAGTCACATGACACATTGAAGGCCCAGTACCTGGCCCTACAAGCCCAATCACTTCAGTGGAAACAGCAGTTGGCACTCAACCAAAACCTACTGACCACACAGATAGTGGACAATGTCCAGCCAACCTCTCTCCCAGTCAACAAGGGGTAACCACCCTTTTTTTTTGTCCATTTGTAATTTATTTATTTATTTTAAATTCTTGACTACTTAATGAATGCTGTCAATATTTTCACTGATTACATGATGCAAACATTAGAAAAGTTCCCATTTTAGACCTCTAAATCCACAGATGTCACTTGTCCATTAACTTAATAAGCAGTCTGTCTGTAGGTTAAGCAAGGATAGAAAATTGTGTATTCACTTTAGTTCTGTCAACATTTTTATTTATGAATATAATAATCAATTTTCAACCTAACCTATATTTTAAGCTGTAATTAAAGAAATTATTAACTACGTTATTTTTTATTCAAGGGAAGCTACTCTGTTATTTTACTAAATAAAAAAAAAAGTTATTTATGAAACTTAAGTGCAAGTTTATGTAACTACATTCTAATGTGTACTTGTAAAAGATTTGTTTTAAAAATAACTTGTTTTCCATATTGGAGCTGTACTTTAGTTTGTTCTAATGATATTATATTATTGTATTCGGTAGGCCTATATCTTGTACTGGCTAATAAAAAGTTTCTTTTTTAAGGGAGTTGAATTCATTAGCCTCTCCCCCACCACCCCCTGCTCCAGTGAAAGTGAAATCAAAGAGTAGTTCAGTCAAACAAAGACCAAAGTATGAGCCTGAGGTTGACCCTAGAGAACAATTGATGATTTCCATCAGAAGTTTCAAGGGGAGGGAAGGATTGAGAACTGTAAGACCTTTAAAATTTATTTCATTTCTTTTTAAATTACTCTCATCATATTCTAAATAAATTTGAAATAAATATTTTTAGTACATCAATTATAGAAATAATAGAATATAAAAAGTTAAATTTTGTCATGTTTGAACTGTTTTTAACCAATATAATGAACTTTTATACATTCTTTTTTAATAGCTTCATAGTTATAAAACAACTGAGAACAAATTTATCACTATTTTACACTTCCCTATTAAATAAAATTTCTACTGAGAATTTTTATAAAAGCTTTCTAAATTTTCAAAAAACATTTTATTTTTTTAAAAAAAAGCTTGTTTTGCTGCTGCATCAGTCAAATTTTTTAAATATTGTTTTTTTCTCTTAGGTTCCTGTTAAAAACACAAAATGGGTTTGAGACAGAAGAGGAACAAAACATACCTTCCAGCACTGTTGAAAATTTATAGTTAACAGAAATCTGCATCAGTTTTGGCTGACTTGTGCTATTTGAAGCTGACTCTTGTGCTATTTGAAGCTCACTTTTGAGCTATTCACAGCTGACTCTTGAGCTATATATTGCTGACTCTTGAGCTAATTTTGGCTGACTCTGAAGCTATTTCAAGCTATCAGTGTGATGAATGATTTCACACAAAAAAATCTGAGAACACATCTCTCACCTGTGTCCTTTAACAGCAACATAATCTTAGAGCTGTTGTAAAATTCCAAGAAAAATGAACTTTCAAAGTTGACAAGTGCAGATAAATCTTGTGGCTAAGGCTGAAAAGGGAATTAACTCTTGCAGCTGCTTAAAGTGATGAGGAAGATTACTATTTGTTATTAAAGAAATGAAAGTTGGAAAGCAACACATTACTATACCAGTATTTTGAACTTTGTTTTTCTACACAAAGCTCTTTGCACATTGCTTTTTATAAATAACCTAACTACATTAAATATAAGGGAAATGTGTGAATAGTTATATCTGTAAATTATTTTTAAAACAAGAAAATTATTACATTTCAAAATGGCTAAAAAATCAAAATGTTTTATTTTAATGTTTAGGATTTGTCCTTAAATGACATCACACTTATTTTTATTATTCCCCTCCCTCCCTCTTCATAATAAATGGTCACAAATTTTAGCTCCACCCACATATTTTCCAAATTGTTTCTTGAAAAAGGATTTATTATATAAAGTTTTTAGATTGTTATTGATTTTTTTTATTGCATTTTACATAAACCCTGTTAAAAATGCAAAATAACTCTTAATTATCTTTTCAAACAAAATTACTGGTTATAAAACGCAGAAGTGTGAAATCACACTTTAACATACCTCTCTTTGTCACCCTCCCCCACACATCCCACACAGAAGTGTGAGGACATTTATGGATGACCCTCTTAACCCCAAATAATTAGAATCAGTTCACAAAAGAAAGTTCAGAGAGTTGAAAATGAAGTACCTTCAGTATTGTTAAAATATTAAATTATTTTGAAATAACTTATTTAAAACTTACTCAGAAAAACATATATCACTGTAAATTGGTATCATTCTTAAAGTGTATTACAGACTTTCATTTTGCTTAACTGTATGTAAATAATTGAATGAAAGCAAATATATGCAAGAAATTTATGCAATGTTTTACCTATGTACCAATCAATTAGGGACCATAATGCATGAGACTATTCTGTAAATTTTAAATATAAAGAAATATCTAAATACTCATATTTAAATATCTGTTTATGTTAATATGTTGCAAACTGTGGTGTGTTTGGGTTTAATTTTTAAAATTCCATATAGATTTCTTTACACACATAGTGGTATTTATAAAAGCAACAATTTGTCTCAAGATGATTTGAACTGAGGGGACAAATATCAAAACATCTGTGATGTGTGTACCCATCCAACACTCGTGATGTCATCATGTGTTATGTTGAGTGGTTAACTGGTTAACCAGTTCTAACCCAAATGTGTTACAAGGTTTGACACACCTGTACAACTATGTAATCACCAGGTGTGTGACCTAATGACCTGTAGGTCAGAGTTTAACTACACATGTACACACATGATTGCACTGCAGAGGTCAAAGTTCAGGTTAAATGTGTTCAGTAGATTGATGTCATGTCCAGCCTGCTACCCTTCGTACATCAGATATGTAGCCCGTATAACCATATTATGTACATTTATGTTTCAAACAAAGTGTTGAGTGTTGGCCGTTGATGCGATTGACGTATCACAAGGTAAAGTTAATTTATTTTTATTCTGTGAAACCTGGTTTGTGTGAATCAGATGAGAGACACCTATTGTCAGCTGATTTGATTTACACCAATTAGTTTCACAATGTCTGATTAAGATTTCTGCTGATGATATAAACTGCATGTTGCTAAATATAATTTCTTTGTAAAAACTTAACAATGCCATTTTAATTACTGTTTCTTATTATTACTTCTGTAAATTTAAATATGTTAACATTTTTGTATGTTTTTCAAATATTCAATTTTTCTACATGGTTAAAAAGTTGTTTGAGATTAAATTGTTAAAATTCTGTTAAAATGAGAGAATATTTTGTAAATGACAAAACATTAAATTAAATTGTCTAAACTCTGTTAAAATGAGAGAATATTTTGTAAATGACAGAACATTAAATGAAATTGTCTAAACTCTGTTAAAATGAGAGAATATTTTGTAAATGACAGAACATTAAATGAAATTGTCTAAACTCTGTTAAAATGAGAGAATATTTTGTTAATGACAGAACATTAAATTAAATTGTTAAAATTCTGTTAAAATGAGAGAATATTTTGTAAATGACAGAACATTGACCCCTGTCTGGCATTCTCTGCTAGCCACAGCTCCTGATTAGTAAAACATTCACCAAACCTGTCATGTTCCCTGTATATCCCCCCCCCCTCCTATATTTGCTCGTCTTTCATGTAACCTGAACCTACAGCTTGTGAACAAAAAAAGCTGATGTTCATTTATCTTTGTCTTGTATCAAGATGGCCAGTGATTTCTTCAAATTCATCCCCACATTAATTCAGCCTTAGGCTCAAACTTTATATATCCCCATTAATTCAGCCTTAGGCTCAAACTTTATACATCCCCACATTAATTCAGCCTTAGGCTAAAACTTTATATATCCCCATTAATTTAGCCTTAGGCTAAACTTTATACTTGCCTCATTAATTTAGCCTTTGGATAACATTTAAAGCCTCCCATTTATTCAACAAGCTAGAACTGTATGTACCCCCCCCCCCCAAATAAACTCAAGGATTTATTATTACTGTGTAACCCTGTACATACAATTTCTACCCAACAGAATATAATCCTGCATGTGACTGCCCTTCATGTAACAAATTCCTTAAGAACCTACTCATGTACTCTGTTAATCTAATGTTGTGAACATTTCTAATCAAGGAAGATTTCTTCTGACAAAAATGTTATCTTTCATTTTACAAATAATTCATTGGATATCCTTAAAACATGTTAATAATAAAGTGTACAGGTATGGGATTTAAAGATTTGTGTGCACGTCTCCATAGTTACACATTAATCTGTCTACCAAATTGGGTTCATTGTTTCTTCTCTCCCTTGAATTATCTCCAAAATATAAGTGACTTAATTTATTCAAAGATTAAATCAGCAGGAAAAATGTGATATTTTGAAAAAAGAAATGTTAATTTAGATCTAGATAAATTTAAGGAAGTGAAATGTTCGTTTTTGATGAGATGTATGCCACAGTGGGACAGTTAATTCCTTTGTTGATTATTAACATTAGTCACTATGGTAACCAGATAATTTGGTCAATGTCATAACCAGCTTTACTTACACATTCTGTTCACTCTTTATTTATCACATATTACAGAATAATATACAATAATAAATTATATCAATATTTGTTGGTTTGTTTTCATTTTTTGTTTGTTTACAATTTAAGCCTGAATGCTCAAAACTGTTTGAATCAGATGTAAATATGTCCAGTTACACAGAGTAAAGGTGGCTGGGCATAGTGCTGACCACACTATCTCTTCATATGCCGAGGTCAGAAGAAACAAGTGAACTTTACTTCACTTGCCCCATAGACCGTCAGGTTTGAAAGGGAAACTTTACTGTTACACACGAGTGGGTGTAAACTGTCAAGCTATTATCTATGATGTATGTCTAGTTACACATTATATCAGGTGTAAATTATGTACAATTTGCACATAATAACAGGTATAAGCTATTTCCATTAACAGTCGTGCAATGATTCTATACTGAGCGTCAAGCGAAAAGACGCTTCAAAACCAACAATAATGAAAAACTTAGTAAGATTTAAAAAAAAAAAAAAACCAGCTGAACATAATACAAGATGGCAGCCTCCCAACCCCACCCCACCCCGTGTAGAGAAGGAGTGTGAGAGAGAAACACTAGTAAAGTTGGAGAAGTGAGTGAGGGCTAAAGGGGCTGTGATCAGAGAGGTGTTGGAGCGGACTAAAAATCCGGCCAGCGGAAATTGGCAGAAGGGCAGTGAAACAAACACCTTCGATTTTTCATGTTTTTTTTTTTCCTCTTAAATTAGTTACTTTTACAAATTCTGCCCCACTGTTACATAATTTACTGCCCTCGAGGTTATCTTCTTATAATCAGGCTCGAGATACAACGGATTCTTCAAGTCGACCTTGTCGAAAATTTCTTGCGACAAAAGGTTCCTCGCATCGGGTGACAGGTTTTTAAAATAAACTTAAGACTAGCACAATAAAATACATAGCGAAGATCGGTGCTAGGCTAGGGCGTCAACATGGCGGTGTATATCAGTATCACGTGTTTGCAATGGTCTATAGGGTATCCCATTTAAATATCACAGATAATAAGGCTCATGTTATGTAATCTCATAACTTAACGACACCGAACAAAACAGCCCCGTTATTATGGCTCCCGACTAAACGGCTCCCTTCATTTTAGTCTGCGAATGAGTTTATCAGTCAAGTCTCCCAAAGTTTAGTTTCGCCACAGACAACATAATATAATTTTTTACAAAGCTTTAAACTTGCATTGCACATTTGAACGTTGTAAACATGGGCTAAACAGTGCACACTTGAACGTTGTAAACATGGGCTAAACATTGCACATTTGAACGTTGTAAACATGGGCTAAACATTGCACATTTGGCGGTTGTAAACCTGGGCTAAACATTGCACATTTGGCGGTTAGAAAATGGGCTAAACATTGCACATTTGGCGGTTGTAAACATGGGCTAAACATTGCATATTTGAACGTTGTAAACATGGGCTGAACATTGCATATTTGAACGTTGTAAACATGGGCTAAACATTGCACATTTGAACGTTGCAAACATAGGTAAACATAAACTAAACATTAATATCAATATTCACAAAACAAAGGCTAAATGTTGCACTTTCCAAAATGTAAACAGGCTAAACATAACAATATTTACAGTTGTTTATATAAGCTAAACATTGCACTTTTCAAAGTTGTAAACATAAGCTAAAGATTGAACTTTCCGTTTTATGTTGCCTTAGGGACTTCGCGCGCATCTTTGAAGAAAATATCAAGGTAATTGTAAAAGAATGAAATTCGAAATATCAAGTTAAATGTAAAAGGATAACATTCTGAAAAGCGTAAAAATTTTTTTGTGTAAAATTAGATTCTTAAAAACCATGGCAGGAAGTGCGGAGATAAAAGAATTCTTAAATTGTGGCCCGTATCGGGGCAAAGCGATTTCTCGGCTAACCTCCTTGAGCATGCGCAATTATCAGAGTCAGATTTCAGTGATAAAAATAATCGTGCATGGATGTCATTATGACTAGCCTGGGAAATATTAAAACCTGCCCATGCTAATTGCCTCCCCTCCTCAATCACATCACTTTAATTAAACCGATTACACGCGGGGCATTTGGTTTAATTGGAATCGATTCTATCTTAATCCATTCGAACCTTTTGTTCAAAACAATCGACTTCGTGCGGGCACCATATGATAGGAGAAAACTATCGTCAGTACATGCTAAAGGAAAACTATCGTCAGTACATGCTAGGAGAAAACTATCGTCAGTACAAGCTAAAGGAAAACTATCGTCAGTACATGATAAAGGAAAACTATCGCCAGTACAAGCTAAAGGAAAACTATCGTCAGTACATGATAAAGGAAAACTATCGCCAGTACAAGCTAAAGGAAAACTATCGTCAGTACATGATAAAGGAAAACTATCGCCAGTACATGCTAAAGGAAAACTATCGTCAGTACAAAACTATCGTCAGTACATGCTAGAAGAAAACTATCGTCAGTACATGCTAGTGGAAAACTATCGTCAGTACATGCTAGTGGAAAACTACTGTCAGTACATGATAAAGAAAAACTATCGTCAGTACATGCTAAAGGAAAACTATCGTCAGTAGGCCTACATGCTAGAGGAAAACTATCGTCAGTACACGCTAAGAGAAAACTATCGTCAGCACACATCATGCACAAGGCCTACGCCTACAGTAATGGCAATGCATTTATTTATATAATACACGCACTCGCGCACACACACACACACGCACGCACGAGCACACACACACACACACTGCCTTGGCGTACATTAAAGAAAATTCTGCTTAAAGAAACTGCTGCCAGATAATGCTGCAAGCGACTACTGCAAGATACTTCTTAAGGTACAGCTGCAATTTAGTAAGGCCTTTAGTAACGTTTTGTGATTTGAAATGTGACCAGTGTTTCTTCCAGACTTTTTTCTCCGGGGTGCACTTGAAATAAATATTCGGACGGGGGGGGGGACACCAACAATTTTCGGGGGTGGGGGACGGACACTGTCAAAAGTATATATTTTCTATATAAATTACATTTCGTTTGGGGGGGGGGGTAGACTTTCTTCGGGGGGGGGGGGGGCGCTATTCTCCCCCCCCCCCCCCCCCCCCCGAAGAGATACCTGGAAGAAACTCTGAATGTGACGTCTGTGATAGTCGAGTTTGGGAATAAGTAAGTCACTGCATATTAAAAAAAAATAGTTTTTTTTCAATTTTTAAAGTGGTATTTTAAGTGACTTTAATTCGTTTAATCTATTGGCCTGACGTGCTCATAGAAAATCCTACCCGGAAATTACATAATAAGCATGTCAGCTGTTTCCGATACTTTCTAAAATTAAAATCTGAAGAAAATTATTTAAAAAGTAGTTTAAAAATTAGGATGTGAAAAGTAACTACATGGGATAAAAACACGGACTTATACATTAAAATAAAAGTGACAACTGATTTTGTCCTGGATTTGTTCTTATGATGATGAATGACGCTTGATTTTCAAAAAAGCTAAGTTGTGATTTATATATCATTCAGTAAAAGTCTTGAGCAATCCTCATATAGTAAAACTGTTTAGAAAACCTTGGGCTTTCAGTAAAAAACTTCAAGGACATAAAATTTAAATGTCATCAAATCTTGACTTGACACCGGACTATTCATTATGTCACGTCCAAGCCTCGTTGTGGATTCGTTCAAACTGATGTCAAATCACAACATTCAAAGAGTATGCTTGTTCTTAGGTTGCCCGACATAACCTTTAAAGGGGTTCAATTAGAATGATGCTAAGTACCATAGGCAAAACATCTTTTAAGAGCGTTGAAAAGTAACAAATAAAAATACATGTAGATTTTTTAAATCGGATAACTTAGAATATTAATTAACATATAATATTAATTAACAGATACTAATTCATATAGATTCATAGACATCTAGTAATAGTCTGGTAAACTTCAAAGCTTATCCATTTTAGAACATAGACAGTGTTTTTTTTTTCAGACTTTTTTCTCCCGGGGGGGGGGGGGGGGGGCATTGGTAAAAGTACATATTTTCTATCCATATTCTATTTCCTTTGGGAGGGTGTGGGCGGTATAAGTTCTTTAAGGTGCGTAGAGCCCCCCCCCCCCCCGAAGAGATGTCTGAAAGAAACTCTTGACATGGAGAGGTGAGGGCTGCAGGATCCGTTTGGGGTAAAGGGTTGGGATTGTGGGGAGGGGTTGGTGGCGGGGCTTAATCAATCCCACGAGGAACATTTACCAGTTAAAATTTAAGTTAATTGAATAACTACTGGCCGAACGTAATTAAAACGTGGATGTAATGAGCCGTAATCTCCAAGACCTGTCTAACGTTGTGTAGTGTAATGTAATCACCTGGTCGAGTATGATATGGCACTACAACAGTGCTGCCTGCATTTGTCATGGTGATCTCATAGCGTCCCTGAGAATGGGATCAATATAATATCCCATAATAATTATATATATATATATATATATATATATATATATATATATATATATATATATATATATATATATATATTTATATATACATGTATGTATGTATGTATGTGTGTGTGTGTGTGTGTGTGTGTGTGTGTGTGTGCTTTGAATGAGTGAGTGCGCCGTGTTTTGAACAAATTGGTTCAACCCTAATGCTCCGGGGCCTAAAGTAACAGTTATTTGAACTTTGACCCTTATCTGATGCACCTCTCATAAAACACGTGACTCCAATCGTCACGTGAATTACCACCCCCCCCCCTCCATATGCGCATGTCTGTCCGGTAATCTGTCTGTCTGTTGGTTGTTAATCTCAACCCGCAGCCAGATGTGACGCCTGCAGTCACTATGGTAACGGATAGTTAATTTCTTAAAACCGTTAGCTCACGCTAACCATCTACGCTCGATAACACCCATTCAGATCCGAAATTTCCTTCTAACTCTCGTCTAGTGTCGATAACACCCATTCAGAAATTGCTTCTAGTCTAGTGTCGTTATACACGGAAATTGTAATTTTTCTGCTTAACTAGTGACGCATTATAAGTGACGCAACCAATGACGCAGTGACTGGGTTTTTTTTCCAAATAGAACCTGATATCGATATCCGTTGACT